CACACACACACACACACACACACACACACACACACACACACACACATATACATACACACACACACATACACATACATGTACACACATACACATATATACATACATATACACAATGGAAAACTAAATAGCAAATAAGTATTACCGGCTTGAGTCATACAGCCAGTGATGGCCCTGGAGTTATAAACTGGCTTATCATGGCTCCAGCATCACTGATAATGAAATATACTACAGCCTCCCACATAGATGCATTCAATATTTCAATTTAAAAAGGATGCTGGCATATCCTTGCTTGGCCTGAAAATGTCACTAGCAATCCATTTTAGTTTATTTGTGAGGATTGTTTGGACTTTCCTGGAGGGTGGGATTTTGGACAGCCATAAATTTGTCAGAAGCTATTATTGGTGTTTATTTGTAAAGCATGATATAAGGAAGAAGAGAGGGATTTAAATATATGGTTTTAATGTTAGTGTTTAGTAAGATTTATGTGGTTTAAATGCCACAAAGTGATGACTAGAGCAACTTAAAAAATGGGAGAAAAACTATGAATTGAAATTCTCCTGGTTACCCCTAATTTTCTAAAGCTTTTTCTAAGTCAACTTTATAAAATTAAACAAATGAATTACATATAATTTTATGTAAACTCCAAATATTGTATAGCCATCAGTGAAACTTCTAAAAATCCAAATATCACCTTTTTGGCTTTTAAGTATTTTGTGAGGAAATCTGATGTAATTGCTTCATAAAGTGCTTTGGGCTTAAAGTCTTTATAATCCCAAACATCATAAGCCCACTTCAGCAGCATTTTTTCATCTCCAAGAAGCTGACCATCAACAAAACACAGCACATTGGATGGATATTCCCATGTTTCACCTCTCAGTTCCTGCGATCAGAAAAAATATATTAAAGACTGATACACATACCATAGAAAATCCCTAAACATTTTACATTGGTGATAAAATTAGGAATAGATCTCAAAAGATAACGATGAGTTTTTGCTAAAAGATTCAAGTTTGAAAGCATTGCATAAGTTGATCAGGATTTCCTATTTATTACTGAATGTCTAACCTGTCTTTCTGTTTCTTCAACTGTAAATTACTGGCTATATTAAATGCATCATACTAAGCCATAAATCGTTCCTTCTGGCTTGTTTTATTGTGGAATTCCAGATTCTTTGTCAATTGTGGTTTATTCAACAAATCATAATTTAGTATAATATGTTATAATGTTAGACCTCAAACAAATCACTTCTCCTTAATTTAGGCTAATCTGTCCTGATTTCGAAATAGAAGTCACACAATCAGAAATTAGCCAACTATATTTAACCTACCATGTTGTTCAAACCAGTTTGAACAACTACTTTGCAGTTCAGTGTGGTATGCAAATTCTGAAATTAGAATAATAAAACTACCATAGTTAACTATAAATAAGCATATTGTAAAAATATAACCAGAAATTAAAATATACCTTCTTTTTTTCTTGTAGATATTCATCCCATGCAAACTGCAATAAAGGAAGTACTTTAGGCTCAGCTATCTTGGTGGGGAAATTTCTCCTAAGAGTCTAAATATGCAAGAAAAAAGTTTTAAAGACTGAGCTATGTTTTATATTTTATAATAGTGCTCCTAAACATAACCATTATAACACATATAGCAGATCATATAAGTTACTTAAGTAACAATATTTTGAGATCACTTATATGTGAGGAATTTATACAACTCTACTTCCTATCATACATCATGCAAGAGTTTTATCGTGATAATGATAAGATGTCAATTTCTTTTGCATTTATTATACATGAGTAAAATGGCTAAAAACAGCTTAAACAATGGAGACTTGCAAAATGAGACTTGCAAGTCAAGAAATGTATATTATCAAGCATCAGTTCAACTGAATGGTTCTTAGTTAGCTTCCACCTCCCTCTACAATATATTTCATTGTATCTCATAATCTAGGAAGTACGTGTAATGAACTGACATATATTTATGATGTAGCATCAGAACTAAGTATCTGAATGAAGGTCAATATCCTTTCACAGAAAAATCTACTCTTGAGAGTTATTGATAAATGTAAAATTTTAGTTGCCTTCCCTTTGGGTTAGCCATTTTGTTCATAGTAGCTCTCGTACATTCCTACTTGCTTTTCTTTGTAGCCCTCCCAACTCTTTAAAGGAGATGAGAAGTTGTAGGATAGATGTCTCCTCCACAGTCAATGAAGAAGGCATTCCATCAGTGGATTTAATTGGTTAACACCCTTTTAGTCTACTCAACTAATTAATTCTTGGTTTTTCATAATAGTGTGTGAGTTGACATGAAGTGGCCTAGGAGAAACAGCCTTCATATAGCTGCTTGAATAGTAAGAATATTTACTTTTTCAGTACTTTTTGTGCAGACATAATTCCCTCCTAGTGTGACATTCTCCACATCTCCACATCTGCAAAGATTTTCAGCAACTGAACTAAACATTTGAAAACAGTCACTTGGGGACAGTTTTTCTCCACCATGAAGGAAATGACAGTTTTATTTCTACCTAACTGAAGGAAATTTATTTTAGTTTATACTTATTTTATAAGTCCATTAGCTGCTACAAAAGCCACGAGAAATGTAGGAATGGCCAGTTTTTCAGGAGCATTATTTTTTTAAAGTTACAAAAGCCTACCTTATAACTGCATACTGACAGCATAGAAGATAGAATCATAGGGCTGGAAAGGACCTGAGAAGTCTTCTAGTCCAACCTCCTCAAGGCAAGAGATCTTATACCATCCCCGTTAAATGGTTGTCCAGTTTATTTTGGAAAACCTTCAAAGATGAAGCACGTACAACTCCGGGAGGCAAACTATTCCATTGATCCATTGTTATATCCAAAAATTTCTCCTTCCTTTTAGGTTGGATCTCTCTTTAACTAACTTTCCACCCATTAGTTTTTATAACACATTTAAATCTTGAGCTCAACCGACAATTCTGTTCTGGAAGAATCTACCATTCATTGAGCCTTTGCAATACCATGTTTGTGGTCCAAAGAGCTCAGGGGCAACATTATCAACACAAAGAGCAACAAGGAAAAAAAAAGCAGTTCCCCAAGATGTAAGCAGTGAATTTGCAACAAGGACCTGGGCCCTGGGAATTACCTCCGCTGCGTGAGCTGCCATGTGAAAGGAAGGTTCAGTGAGCAGGCCCACCACCTCCACTTCTTGGCACTTTATGGACTGACCACATGGGTTCTTCGGCCACATTGCCACAAAGTTTTATCTCTCTTCTCTTTGCTTTTCAGCCGCCCAACTTCTTCTCAAGCAGCAGCAGCAGGAGAAAAATCAACAAGTCCCCTCACCATAGCAACTCCAATCAGGTGCTACCGTTCTCTCCAACTGGGAATTCTGCCAGCCAGCAACTGATTCTCATCAGACTTTCCCTTTTATCTAATCATGCAACATGAAACCCAACCGGCCAGCTGGGAGGTGCGTTTAAATCTGATAACTAGCTGTTGTTATCAGCCCAGAATGTTGATTTTCCAATGAAATATCATAATGAGATAGTGGTGTGTTGGCTCACTGAACATGTTGAGCTGTGATACCCACTGAGAAGAAACCAACATACTTAATACTTTTCTTGCCTATACATTCGTGTTTTGAGGGAATTATTTTGATAGTACATATTGATTAATGGTGCCCTGTAGAATTAATTTACACAGATGATAATAACATTTGCTTAAAATCTCGATAATAACATAAAGTGCTTTTGGATTGGTGGTGGGCTTTGCTAAAGGGCAATTTTTTGTTCTCTTGATTAGTACAGTTAAACAAATTAATTCTTGCCGTATTTAAGCTTACATGCTGATAAAAACAGCATGTAAGGTAACGTCACATGCATAAGAACAGAGCTTAAAGTTAATCATTGAGAAAACATGATAAATTTAATATACATGTAAGTCATTATGTTATATACCCAAATTAGATCAATCATTGACTGCATGTGATGAAGAAATGTGTATTGCTTTATGAGTTTATTCCAGAGGTGGGTTCCTACCAGTTTGCACCTATTCGGTAGAACCGGTTCGTCAAATCTACCGAACCGTTTAGAAGAGGTTCCACCAGTGGACCCAGAAA